TCAGGTTCGTGTCCCTGCTATAGACATGGTGTCGCTTGTGATATGGAGTCATGTGAGAAATCTCACTAACTGGTGTTCGATTTCTTGTTTTGTTTCAAATCTTGCATCCACACCGACACAAGTTACCTCCCTTGTTTACAGCTGACATGCCCAAAATATGAGTATAATATGCATTTTCGTTTCTTTTTAAACTAGCTTTAGTTTCAGTTCGAGTTTTAGTAGGATTTATAAAACAGCTGCGTATTTGAAATTATTTAAATTAACAGGAACTATTTTCAGCAGTTTTGAAATCTTACCATTCTTTAAAGCCTCATCCTCATCGTCCTAAACGCCCTGTCATCACCGTCGTCATTATCATCCTCGTCATCAACGGCAACAATACAGCAGTCGTTATGAACAACATCGTCGTCATTGACAACATCGTCTTAATCATTGCCGTCATTATCATCAGAAAATCATCATCGTAGTCATGGCCGTGGTCGTCATTTTAATATCATCGTTGTCATCACTATTGTTGCCATCAACATCGTCGTCATCGCCTTACTTTCTAATCAATAAACTCACAGTCATCATCATCGTTTTCATCATCATAATCATCATTAAGGTTTACATACTCAGGTATCTTGTTGCTGTGACCGTGAGGCTAATGTATCGTGTTGTATACCACTGAAAAGAACTTAAAAAAAAATATTCATCTTTGACCAATAAAATACAAGTATTTTACGTGAGAGTTGATACAGATCAAGACACAATCTGCAACATTGCATAAGCCGGTGTACAAAGCGGCAAAGAATACAACATATCTGTTAGTTTTGTTTAACCATCTGTATGTCCAGCGCTCGGACGCTCGCAACCTACACGAGGCGTGTTAGTTTTACCGTAATACCTCCTCTGGGGATGTAGAGGACGGGTTTATATATACCATTCTCGGAACATTCAAAGTAAACATTAAAACTGGCAGTAGTGAGTGAGTATCTTTTAACGGCGGTGCAAACAGTGATGCATAATACTATTAAGACTGACTGACTGAGTTTAGTTTTACGCCGCTTTTAGCAATATTCCAGCAATATCACGGCGGGGGACACCAGAAATGGGCTTAACACATTGTGCCCATGTGGGGAATCGAACCCGGGTCTTCGGCGTGACGAGCCAACGCTTTAACCACTAGGCTACCCCACCGCCCCATACTATTAAGAATCTGAGGGACTTTGTTTGGGGGTCTAGCGCCGCTTTGAACAGTACTTCGGTATGACATGTCTCTCACTTTGGTGCAACCTCTATACAAAATATAAAATGGTCTAGTTCTTTGTATGGCCTGTTTTTGGTTTTGTTGAATACTAGTATAAATTATCACTTTTACATTAAATGTACTGACCAAGTTATATGTGTGTTTAAATAATCCGTGGGGATACAGGGTCAGAGACCCGTGGAGTGAGTGATTTTCTGACCCGCAGTGGGTGCCTGTGATCAAAACTATCATTTCAGAAAGTATTTCCAAATATATCGGCAATAAAATGATATATTTGAGATATGATGTATTGGAGCATTGTACGACGAAACAGACGGTCAGAAAACACATGAAAGGTTTGGATTTCATCTTCAGCTCTTTGCTGCTAAATTGCGAGCGTTTGTGAACAAAAGAAAAACACAAAAAAGTGTCGTGTGTATTAGCACACCTGAAATACACATACATGACTCGTGGTGCACGTGGGACAGTTGCTGCGCGTGACAGTTCAGACGACATTGCATGGTCTCTAATCGAGGTCAGATGGCTTATATTGTTCGTCTGACAATGTTGTTTTGTAGTGTTCGTCCAGGAGGACACTCCTACCGATTTCACCGCCATTGCTTGGGGATGTTCAGGAGTTACAGTGACCGTCTACTCAACATGCGAAGTTCGCCATATACGCTCTGAGGTATGTAAATTACTTTGTGAGTGAGTTTAGTTTTACGCCGCTTGAAGCAATATTCCAGCAATACCACGATGGGGGACACCAGAAATGGGCTTCACACGTTGTACCTATGTGGGGAAACGAACCCGGGCCTTCGGCGTGACGAGCCAACACTTTAACCAGCAGGCTACCCCACCGCTCATAAAGTACTTTGAATGGGCAAGGGGGGCGGTGGGGTAGCCTAGTGGTTAAAGCGTTGGCTCGTCACGCCGAAGACCCAGGTTCGAATTCCCACATGGGTACATTGTGTGAAGCCCATTTCTGGTGTCGGCAAGAGTTCCACCCGTAACCCCCGCTTGAAATGTATTCTATTTATCAGTATTATTTCGAGGTTTTAGGGTCAGGTTTAGGGTTTGGTTTAGGGTTAAGGTTAGTGTTAAGTGTTTTTGGTAAAAATCATTTGTTCTTAAGCATAGAATGATAAAAAAAAACTAGGGTTACGGGCGGAAATCTTTCCCGAAATCTGACAACTAGATCTAAATTATTACGACTCTTACGAGAATTATGGCGTCCCCAGCCGTGAAATTGCAGGTGTACTGCTATAAGCGGCGTAAAATAATGTTCATTCACTCTTAGTGGGTATTGTGTTTGATCAGAATCGTATCACATACAGCCAGTGTGCGAAATAGCCACTGACCCGCTAGCCCGTGGCTAGTAAAAATCCAGTCGGGCCAGTAATTCTCCACAGTCACTGGCCCGACTGGCTAGTGAATTTTCATGGGGTCATTTTGTAAATATATCACTCTCTCCGACTTGTTAAGTTATAATACACGTTTTAATCATGGAAGATTATGGCCTGATAAAAATGTTCATCATATTAGCAGTTTAATAATGAAACCCGTGTCATGCCGACAGTATGTTATTCTCATGTATTTTTGCAATCTATTGCTTCGTTTCTACATTCAATTTTCGGGCTAGTGAATTATTTTGTGGGCTAGTAACTTTAAGGCATGGCTAGCCCAACCGGCTAGCAAAATTTGGAAACTATTTCGCACACAGCAATGATATGTCTGAACTGTTCCTGGATGAGGCGACCCGTGAAGGTCCGGGTCAGAATGAACCTTCAGTAACCCATGCTTGTCGTAAGAGGCGACTAACGGGATCGGGTGGTCAGGCTCGCTGACTTGGTTGACACATGTCATCGGTACCCAATTGTGCAGATCGATGCTCATTCTGTTGAAACTGGATTGTCTGGTCCAGACTCGATTATTAACAGACCGCCGCCATTTAGCTGGAATATTGCTGAGTGTGGCGTAAAACTAAACAAACTCACTCACTCACTCCTGGATGAGGCACATCACTCACTCACTCACTCTCTTCACTGGCAATATATGATTTTATCAATATGCCTGCAATATCAAGGGACACCAGAACTGATCTTCATACAATTTGGACCGCAATGAACATCGAGGTTAAGCCCATAGTGAAGCAGGCCTTATACAATAACGAAACTGAAGGACGCTTCAGAGCCTATTCTTACTCCTTCACTAGGTGACCGCCTCCGTGGTGTAGTGGTTAGAGCGTCCGCCCGGAGAGTGGAAGGTCGGGGGTTAGATCCCCGACCGCGTCATACCAAAAGACGTTAAAATTTGGTACTTTTTGGTCCCTGCCTGGCGCTCGGCATTAATTGGTACAATAAGGACTGGTCGGCTCTGAGTCAGTATAATGTGTCTGAGTGGGGTATTCATGTTTCACTGCGGCATGGTATCTCAGTGGGCTAGCACTATAAAACCAGCTTAAGTCTGGGCTAGTACAAGCAGCCGCACATACAAATACACACGCATGCACGTCGTCATATGAGCGAAATAATCTCAAGCACAACGTTAAACCCAATTTCACCTCACCTCACCTTCACCAGGTGATCGTGTGTATCAGTTCTAATTGCTATTCATTGTGTGTGTGTGTGTGTGTGTGTGTGTGTGTGTGTGTGTGTGTGTGTGTGTGTGTGTGTGTGTGTGTGTGTGTGTGTGTGTGTGTGAGTGTGTGAGAGAGAGAGAGACAACGACGGCGGCGGCCGGCGAATAATCACTTGAGCATCAATCTACACAGTCATGATACGATGACATCAACTATATGTCAGCTAGCCTGACTTCCCGATCCCGTTATTGCTTGCAGTTACAAGTGTCCGTTGGTGACCACCTCTAACCCGGATCTTTATGGGCTTTCATAACAGTTGATTCTGTTAAACCGGACGTTTGTGTGTGACCGACTATTAACTGCGGATGTGACCTGTGTTAATTTGAATCGAGCGTCAATTACATGATACCTTTGTCCCACATTGTCAGTTCGTGTTCTATAGAAAATAAATCCGGATTTATTCATAGTGCTTGACTGTTATTAACACACAGGGAGGGGAGGTAGCCTAGTGGTAAAAGCGTCCGCTCGTCATGCCGAAGACCCGGGTTCGATTCCCCATATGGGTACTACGTGTGAAGCCCATTTCTGGTATCCTCTGCCGTGATATTGCTGGAATATTGCGGAAGGCGGCTTAACAGCTTACTTCATTAACACAGTGAATCGAAGATTATTCATATAATCCAATTTGACATGTTCCTCAACTACAGACTGAGCAAATTATCCTGTTCAGGTACATTTGCGATTGACCATTTGTAGTATGTTACTTGAGTCAGGTTAAAGTTTCAATCCGTGCTAGATAGAAATGTGTACTTTATATTAAAATTAGGTTGAATTTCAACTGCTCGCAGCATACAATGTGTGAAGCCTTTTTCAGGTGTTACCCATTTGCTAAGAGAATGCAAAAAGCGGCTTACTCACTCACCCGCTCACTCGCTCACTCACTCAATCACTCACTCACCCACCCACTCACGCATCCACTCATTTATTTAACGTCAGTGGTATATTCAATAAGTGTGTATAAATATAGCGTTGGCTTCTGTAACGTGTGCCATCAATCATTTCGTCCAAGTATATCCAAACGTGTTCAATCAAGCAAAACTAAGCGGTCGCTCTAGTTCCACATAATCTACCCTTGTATCTTGCAGTTACGCTGGAGGCTGAACCAGGCTGTCAATGATGCACATGAGTCCCAACCCTTCCGCGTTACCAAACTCCGCAACAGGGCGATCCAACTGTGACTCAAACTATTGAATCCCTGCATCATTCAAGCTCCATACACTGATCAGTGACGACATTTCAGGAAGTCGAGTGAAATTTCTTTCAGAATCAATTAAAGTCGCCCAGTGGCTCACTGAAGCTTTAACCATGGCGGGAGTACGACAAGGTTGTGTGCTGGCCCTTATTGTTTTAAGCTGTGTTGCGGGAAAAGGTAAGATTTCCTTTATAGGTGCTATTATTCAATATTCTTAACGTATAACATGGTTTAGCGTGACTAATAATTCAAAGAATAACTTTGATAACGTCAATCCAAAATTTGATGCATTGAAATATAACACTGATATCAATTTATTTATTTTCTGTCTTATAAACTATTTTAAAGCCACAAACAATTGCATCTATATATAGAGTGCATGGGGTGAATCTTTCTTTGTTTATCATTTGAGTGAATTTAATCATTTAAAGGCATGTAACTTAATTAAATGCTCGGGACGCTACTGTAAAGTTTATAAATATCTCACCAGCAAAGCACTATGGTGTAGTACACAGATACGTATGTTTACAACATTTTGGAAAATTGATGGGAGAGAATAATTTATTTCCTGAATGACGCACTATGTTCTGTCACTTCGGCTGTTTGGTGCTTTACTTGAATCCACCAGGTAATTACAAGTTAGGGATCATGAAGGTGTTTGAATATATTTTAATGAATTTGTTCTCCGTTTTAACTATTAAAAAATGCCCACAATATTTCCCCCCTAATCTTTTTATCGGTATATAACAAGTGATTGTTTTAGTCTAACGTACAATACCTTCGAATATAGAACGTCAGTTGTTGATTTCCATCAACCAGACTTTTAAATCCCCAACTATTAAAGGTTCAAGAATTCCCACAATCTACACTCATATGACCTCAGTGGAAGTCGGGAAAAGGTGAGCATGACACCAGCTTGTGATAAAATGTTAATGATTTTGACAAAACCACGATTACTGAGTGTCCAGAGTCAGAAAACGATAGACCCAGGTAAAATACCTGCAATAAGACACAGGTAAAATACCTGCAAAGAGACACAGGTAAAATATTAATGACCTGGCTTGTTGCATAACCTTATACACACAAACCAAGTAGAAGTAGGTCTGTGATCATGACTCTGACATGAGAAATGTTGCGAATGTACATATATAACATTCATGATTGATGAATAACCATAAACGTTTCATCGCTACTACTACTGAACGACTACTACTGTAGGTTATACTTTGCTGGAAATGGTACGGATGGGTAGTCCAGTGGTATAAGCGTTCGCTCGTCGTCTTCGATTTGCTGCTTGTCGTACAACGGTGACCCCGTTCCTTAAAGCGATCGTAGCGCTACGACTGTCGCAGGTCTATGTTAAAGTATGGGAGTTACGATCACCTTAGCGCTACGACTGTCGTAAGTCTATGTTAAAGTATGGGAGTAACGATCACCGTAGCGCTACGACTGTCGTAAGTCTATGTTGAAGTATGGGAGTTACAATCATCTTAGGGCTATGATTGTTTTGTGGAACGGGGCTCTGCACGGTAGGGAAGCCTAGTGGTTAAAGCGTTCATTCGTCACGCCGAAGACCCTAGTTCGATCCCCACATGGGTACGATGTTTGAGCCGTTTCTGGTGTCCATCTTCGTGTTTTTGCTGGAATATTGCTAAAAGCAATTAATAATATTATGCGTTCTCAACAAGTTTCAAGCTTTATGACCATTGTCCTGTAACGAAGACCAGACACCAATGTACACACAATCACTTATATGCACCTCAGAAGACTGACCACCCAATCCCGTTAGTCGCCTTCCACTACAAGCATGGGATGCTGAAGACCAGTTCTAACCCGGATGTCAAGCAGGGTCAATGTCAAGGTCATGCTGTGTTTCTCAGTTGAACCTGACTTGTGATATATACTCTCCCAAAAAAGAAACGCATCATGAAAATAGCAATTTCATGTAGCAATGTATTAAAACGTGATTCATTTTACAAAAGATTTTGCTCTGTTTATGAGTCCGTTCAATTTTCACCGCTGAAGCCAAAGCTATCTTCTCAGCTTTGACCTACATTCAACAGCAAAATCAGTCCAAAAACTTCATCGTATTTACAGATTCATTATCCTGCCTTCAAGCACTTGTAAATGTGACTTCAAGTCACCCAATTGTCCTGGACATATTAGAACTGTACAACGACCTTTCTACTGGCCAATATGACATCATCCTCTGCTGGTTGCCGGGTCACGTCGGCATAGCAGGTAACACTAAGGCCGATGCTGCAGCAAAAGCAGCTCTCGAAAAGCCCCTATCTCCACTGCTAATCCCATACAGTGACTTCAAACCCACTATCAAAAGCTATACTCGGGACCTGATGCAAAAAAGGTGGGACACTCAAGTAGGAAGAAACAAACTCCATGAATTGAAGCCAACAATCGGTTATACCTACTTGGGTTGTCAGTCAAGACGCGATGAGGTAATTTTACGACGATGTCGTATTGGCCACAGTCGATTTACACATGACTATCTGCTGAAAACGGATGGAGATGGACCCCCCATGTGTGTCTCTTGCGATGAGGTGTTCACCGTCAAGCATATCCTGCTTGAATGCGTGGACTTATCGCCTGCAAGGGACTCACATTATGATGCAACAAACCTAAAAGATCTGTTCTCACGCGTGAGCGCCCATCTGATACTGAACTACCTGAGGGAAGTTGATCTGTATCATAAATTGTAACTGTGAAATGTAACAACCATAAATTGTAACTATGAAATGTAACAATCCGCCTGCTTTTAAATTTGATGCTATGACTTTTTTCTGCTTTTGAATGACAATGTAATCAGTAAATGTCTTTGAAATAAAACTCATTCCGAGTATGTACTTACAATATTTACTAATGCAAACTCGTTCTCGTCACTATATGGCTGGAAAAATGCCGATGTGACGTAAAGCTCAACTCAACTCAACTCAACCTATGGTGTTTATGTTTTGAAACATCACCACAAAACGCACCATCCGTAAAATACCCGTATTTAACAGCATGATTTTCAATTTCGGCATGTAGTGTCACAGGATACACAATTCACATGCAATGCACGTGAAAGTTGGGGATCAGATAGTCTCAATGATGGGTATAAAAGGTTGAACCCTGTCTGTCGATTATTCACTGTATTTGGAGTATTGTTGTCGAACGCAATATGCCACGTCTAAGTGAATCCAACCGTCATATCGCCATTGGTTTGCTTGAAGCTGGCCAGTCTCAACGTGCAGTTGCCCGACGCATGAATGTTCACCGAAGCACCATTTCACGACTCTGGGAGAGATACCGCCGGCAGAATGCGGTAGCAGATGCCCCTCGTAGTGGGCGACCTCGGGCGACCACTGCAGCGCAGGATCGCTACATCCGGGTACATCACCTGCGTCATCGAACAGCTACGGCGACCAGTACCGCTCGACAAATACCCGGATTGAGGAGGCTTTCTGCACAGACCGTCAGGAACAGGTTGAGAGAGGCTGATTTACGTGCCAGAAGACCTTATTTTGGCCCTGTGCTTCGACGACATCATCGTCGACATCGAGTTCAATTGTGCACCAACGTTCAGGCCTGGAACCTACCGAATTGGCGTAGAATCTGGTTCAGTGATGAATCACGATTTCTATTGGAACGAGGCGATGGAAGAATGCGGGTGTACAGACGTCGACGTGAACGTTTCGCCGACGCTAGCGTTCCCCAGGTGGACAGATTCGGCCGGGGAAGTGTTATGATGTGGGGAGCAATCACCTGCCGTAGGAGAAGTGATTTGGTGATGATCCAGGGCAACCTAACAGCTCAACGGTACTGTGACGAAATCCTACGCCCACACCTCCTTCCAATCATTGATGGTCAGAGGGGAGTTGTTTCAACAGGACAATGCCAGGCCCCACACAGCACGTCACACTAGAGACTTCCTCCAGAACCACAACATCAATGTGCTCCCCTGGCACTTAAACCCGATCGAACATCTGTTGGATGCCCTGGACAGACGGGTGCGACGCCGTAACCCTCAGCCCCAGACACTTCAGCAGCTTGCACATGCACTACAGGCAGAGTGGGCTGCGATTGGGCAACACGAGATTCTGAGACTTATTCGTTCGATGCCGAGGCGATGCCGTGCAGTTCTGGATGCCCACGGTGGTCACACAAGGTATTGACTTCAGCGCCACCACACGTCTCCATTTGACACTCAAACTGACTTTCCTCGAGTTGGTGCCAAAGACGGATAAGTCTGCATTCCCAGTGTGCAATTCATTAACTCATAAAGCCTACAAGATGTTTCAAAATAAACAAAAAAATACAGTTGAAATTCCTATATGCGTTTCTTTTTTGGGAGAGTATATTTATACAAAATGGTGGGATGGAAGGAAATATTAGTCACGTCAGGTTTATTTTAGACTGTGTCAGTGTGTGCATGTGTGTGTCCTTTCATTTTCGAATATAGTTACGTCCTTGGTTTCGTCGTGTTCATATCAGTATGCGACAGAAGGAAACATATTTTCCACACACATGAGGATGAATCTGAAAATCAAATCGCAACTGTCTGATTTAAATCCGCGTAAACTGCCGGCCAACGAAAGTATACAGTTGAAAAATTCTCTTGACGTACAAATAACCAACTAGACTTAAAACGGTACATAATGGAGGCCCAGTTAGTTTTACACGCAGTAATTTTCCATCTATATGAATGAGCTTGGTTTTACGCCGCTTTTAGCAATATTCCAGCAGTACGGTCGGAGTTGTCATGTCCATGTCTGTGGTTCGAATCTCTAGAATGATAAACCCGTGAAGATCACGTTATAATTGATCTTCAGTAACTCATGCTTGTTGTTGGAAGTGACTAATGGGATCGGGTGGTCAGGCTCGCTGACTTGGTTGACGCATGTCATCGTATCCCAATTGCATAGATCGATGTTCATACTGTTGATCCCTGGATTGTCTAGTCCAGACCTGATTATTTACAGACCGCCGCCATATAGCTGGAATATTGCTGAGTGTGGCGTAAAACTAAACTCACTCACTCACTCACTCCAGAATGATACAAGAGATGACGTCTTGATTCGTTCCTTGGTTTGGGGCCAAAAGCTAGATGATACTGAAATGACGCTCTGATTACTAGTATGTGTTTGCGTTAAACTACACGTGGCTTAGTCTTTCAGACCGGGTTCGATTCCCTACAACAGCTAGAAATTGTGTAGAATTTAGAATAGTGGTGAAAATATATGAATGGATGGTAAAATCAGGGCTGACACCAGGTGTTCGCGTCCAGAGTATACACGTCTTGCTCTGATGGTAACATCCGCAATATACATGAAAATCACGTGTCAGTTGGTTGTCATACGGGGCAGAGGATACACCTTCCATGTGGGCCGACCGCCACCGTGGTGTAGTGGTTAGAGCGTCCGCCCGGAGAGCGGAAGGTCGCGGGTTCGATCCGCGGCCGCGTCATACCAAAAGACGTTAAAATATGGTACTTGTTGGTCCCTGCCTGGCGCTCGGCATTAATGGGTACAACAAGGACTGGTCGGCTCGGAGTCAGTATAATGTGTCTGAGTGGGATATTCATGCTTCACTGCGGCATAGTATCTCAGTGGGCTAGCACTATAAAACCAGCATCAGTCTGGGCTAGTACAAGCAGCTGCACATACACGTACACATACACACGCATGCACGTCGTCATATGAGCGAAATATTCTCAAGCATGACGTTAAACCCAATTTCACCTCACCTCACCAGGTGACTGAGGGGATCGTGTGTATCAGTTCTAATTGCTATTCATAGTGTGTGTGGGCCTTTATATCGAGTCGGGGCGTGGGGTAGCCTTGTGGTTAAAGTGTTCGCTCGCCACGCCGAAGAGTCGGGTTCGATTCCCCACATGGGTACAATGTGTGAAGCCCATTTCGGGTCTCCCTCGCCTCGATATTGCTGAAATATTGCTAAAAGCGGCGTAAAACCATACTCACTCAGTTTACGTGTTCAGGGTACAGGTCCTACTATATTTGGAAGTAAAGTGAAAAGCTGAAGAAATATGTTCCCTGTGCCAAACCGGACGTTTGTGTTGGCACCGAATATTAGGGAAACGTTAGCCGCCGTTAAACCAAACTCACTCGCTCCCTCACTCTCTCATTAGTTACATCCACTGAGTGCCAAACTCACTCACTCACTCAGTAACTGGGCAGTGGGGTAAGCCAAGCCAAGCGGTTAAAGCGTTCGCTCGTCACGCCGAAGACCTGGGTTCGATTACCCACATGGGTTCAGTGTGTGAAACCCATTCCTGGTGTCCCCCGCGGTGATATTGCTGGAATATTGCTAAAAGCGGCGTAAAACCCTAAACTCGCTGACTCACTCAGTAGTTACACCCATTGAGTACCAAATTCACTCACTCACCCAGTATTTGCCACCTGTTTCAGTCGTGATTTTCACCGCTGCTAAAAGCAGGTTTCATTTAATGACTAATTGATGACTGATCAATCACATCACCGTCAGTGTATTTGGACACGTTTGATCATCTGTGTGCTCATAAAACACAATCTCTTCCTATACCTACGTTGGGCGTTCACGGAGATTGTCCCATCAATTACTGTCACCTCGTCCCCAAACAGGGCGGCCATGTTTGGCTTGTTTGATTTGACCACAGGCTGTTACCGGTACGTCAACTGCTACCGCATCGCCGTCAGCAACGTAGTCACGCGTTCGTGACAGGTCTGTTTTCCCGTCTAGTTATCTAGGTCAGCATGAACTCTTAGCATGATGACGTCGTGGGGTAGCCTCATGGTTAAAGCGTTCACGCCGAGGACGTGGTTCGATCCCCAATGGGGTTCGATTCCCAATGGGGTTACAACTTGTGAAGCCTATACCTGGTGTCCCCGCTGTGATAGTGGAATGTTGCTACACGCGGAGTAAAGTCAGACTCGTTTGATGATGTTGTTAGACTGGCTGATATAATGGAGGGTGGCGTTAATCACAGCTACAATCAGTAATACACACATATTTGATCAAAATACCTTTCATATAACAATTTTGACCATTCGATGCTGTTTAGTCCATCATACGACATATAAGAGCATCGTATCCCATTTGCGTAGAATGATGCTTATGCTGTTGATCACTGGATTGTCTCCAACTTAAGTCTGAGTTTTTACTCAAATTTGAGAAAACGCAGGAAAATGCATTTCCCAGAATAAACTGAAATAAATATTAAACACAAACTTAGTAGACAATTTGAGTTTGGTAGATAGATTACTTAAGTTGTTTGGGATTTTTTTATTTAAAAAATGCAGTTGAGTTAAAAATGCAGCTGTTTCAAATTGCCAAACCAAGTTTCTTTCGAGAAATCGGGGCCAGACTCGATTATTAACAGACCGCCGCCATATAGCTGGAATATTGCTGAGTGTGGCGTAAAAACAAACCACCCAACACATAAGAGATATACTTTTTTTTTGTCTCTTGGTCACTTTACTCACATAACTGCTGAAAATATCAGCACATGGACCTTTCATCTCATTTTGGTAGCGGTGGGGTAGCCTAGTGGTTCAAGCGTTCGCTTGTCACGCTGAAGACGCGGGTTCGATTCTCCACGTGGGTACAACTTGTGAAGGCTATTTCTGGTGTTCCCCGTCGTAATATTGGAATATTGCTACAACGGCGTTGAAATAAACTCACTCACTCTCTTCGTCTCATTTTGACTGTACCTGGTGAACTGCAGTGACTGTTTCTTGTACCTTATAGCGTTGTATATGTTCCCGGTGGTGGCTTATATTTAACATGCAGGCTGATCTCCAGCAATACATAGACACGTATTTGGAAACCGTATTTCATTGCCATGCTAATCAAGGAAATGACACGTTAAATATGCATTCGCTTAACATTAGAGGTTTTGAAATTTATCAAACCAGTTTTTTCTAATTCATCTAATTCTGCGGATTTGGGGCGGGGTCAAATGTAAGGTTATATTTCTCATTTTAAAATTTATTTCCTCTGGACTAAGTGAAGGTGGAGGAATGGGAAACGAAACCAGTTCAGAGTTACCTCCCTTCTGTTATAGACATGGATCTTATGACTAGGTTTAAATTATTGCCTTTCCGAAAATTAATGATTGATATTGATAGCGACAGTAAACGAAATTGATGTTAACATTTTTACTTACTTCTGGTCGGGGGAGTGAAATTAACACCACTGCTTATAATTGTTGATATTTTCCACATTTCAATATTTTGTAGACTACACAGTCGTAAACTAAGTTAGAAGGAATGTGGTCTTTTTATGCATGGATTTTGAACTTGAGCGGTCCCTATTTCTGTGCTTTTTGTATAAGGGGAGGTTCCTGGTTAGAACTGTTCCCTATTAACTATCCATTTCCAGAATTTGAAAAATATTGCTTTCTATTATCCTAACGTGTTTGAAGACATAAAACCACCCATAGAACGATTAATTTGCACTAAAAACTGCTGACAGAATATGTCACACGTTGCTTTATGAATGCAATACTTGCAGCACGACATATCAACCCCTCTTTACGTCACAGCATCTCGTAACCCTCTGACGTCGGCGTTTGACAAACAATTTAACTCCTAGTCAACACTTAGGCAGGTAGAAACAGTATTATGTCACACATGCAATTATTAAATTTTGTAATATTGTTTTTCAGGCAAAAGTTTAGACGTTTTCGTCCCGCATTTAATCGAGGTCTACAGCGGCCGAAGTATCACATTTGACGTCATTTACACGCCCTACACGACAAGCGATGACGTCACAATTAACGTCACAAAACAATCACAGAGATTCGCTGTCATTGAAGTGGCCAATGACTCGATGGCAGAGATCCAGCGTTTCGGGACCTGGTCCAGACGAGTCAAACTTGCACAAAAGAAGGAAAAGTTCTTCGTGACGTTGGATAAGGTTGCCGTTGCTGATGAAGGCGATTATAATGTCACGGTCAAGGTCAACGGTGTATCTAAAGAAAAACGCATGCATATTGGCGTTCTAGGTAGGTGTTAGGGGAATTACAATTTCGTTGACAGTTTTTACATACTTAACTTGGGTTTAGAACATAAACTACTCTCTTTGCTACATAGATAATCAGATATTTTATTATATTATTCTATTTTTAGTCTTCCGTTCAATTTCCACAGCTAGTTTGCTCTTTAAATCAAATGGACTCGGTTGACACATGCCATCGTATCCCAATTGCTGTTGATCACTGGATTGTTTAGTCCAGACTGGATTATTTACACACCGCCGCCATATTGCTGGAATATTGCTGAATCTTGTCGCAAGAGGGTCACTGACGGGATCGGGCGGTCAGGCTCACTTCGTAACCCAAAATGCGTAGATCGACGCCCAAGCTGTTGATCACTGGATTGTCTGATCCAGATTGATTATTTACAGACCACCTCTGAGAGTGGCGTTAAACAACAAATATGATGGATTCAGTGTTCTGACTCGGTGACTTGATTGATAAGCAGCGGTGCTCATAATATCAACCCTTTTTCAGAGTACCCTTCGGATGTTAACATCGAAATCATCAATCAAAACCCCGGATCCTACCCAGAGACAACACCAGTACAGTTCATGTGTAGCGGAGTCGGTGGAAGGCCACTAGGGGAGATAACTCTCGCACGAAAAACTTTAGGCGATGTGGATTATGTCCCCTTGGTGACTGATCTCTTGAACAAAACGGTAGCTGGGCGAGAATTTAACTACACGTTTCAACGACTGGTGGATCAGCAGGATAACGGTTCCTTGTACGTGTGCCAAATACATAAAGGGCCGTTCTTCCTGAAAACTGGACCCCTTAAGCAGAGTTCTCCCGTGGAATTATCGGTAGAATGTGAGTACAGTTAATATTAATTATATTTTTACATTCATGTCTTTGATGACGATATGGAAAGTTGCTAGATTATCAGAGGTAGGAGGATATAGTATCAGCGTGGAATGAGTATATCAATAAGTCATGGTAAACTGCCTGTTGATTAAAATGTTTATCCCGAAACGTCAGGGATTTATCTGGACCTGAGAAGGAAGCCTGTCATTCCTAATTGAAAGTCTCGAAGAACTGAATATATTGCTCCTGTTACGGCTTTGGAGCGATGGAACCATCCCCAGCGCGCGTGTACCTCCAATATCCAAAATAAACAAACAAACAAACAAACAAACACGCACGCACGCACGCACGCACACACACACACACACACAAGACCCGGGTTCGATTCCTCACATGGGTACAATGTGTGAAGTCCATTTCTGGTGTCCCCCGCCGTGATGTTGCTGGAATATTGCTAAAAGCAGCGTAAAACTCACTCACTCACTCACTCGCGTACATACATACATACATACATACATACATACATACATACATACATACATACATACATACATACATACATACATACATACATACATACATACATACATACATACATAATTATAAAAAAATATATAAATAAATTGGTGGATGATGAATACCTAGCAGCCAAACACAGTTAGTTTCGATTCCTTGTAAAGTCCACCTAAAAGTGTCCTGATTCGTGGTGAGGAAGCATTGTTTCAATGTTTTATTAAAGGTCACATAAACCCTAGGGGGTGAAAATACATAAATCACTAACTGGCATCGTTATAAATGAAACCCCGTCATTAAAACTACTCATTTCGACCTTTAATTGACTTAAATCGACCTTTTTGACAACAGTGCACAATTCTCACCCGCGAACGAAATTTCAACCAATCAGAGCGGCGCGCATCTGTGACGTCATATGAGGAATAGCTTTGAGGGCCGATGCAGAATTCATCTACATTTTAGGGGGTAAATTATCTTGTTTACAGGCTTGTATAAACCTGAAATCGTGACAATTGTTGTGGAAAATGAAAGCTATATGTTCTCACAATCTACTGTCATTTAGTTTTGTCTCCTGCTTTGCCTAGTTTCCGAGTTACAACTTGTTTTCATAGACGATTCTGTCAAAATCGATTGGTGTCGTTAGGCCCTATTTGTATAATGACTGATTCAAATTGATCCCATTTCTGTGTTTTTTTACCTCGATATTTAATCATTTTATGTAAAAATCTGTTTGTATTCTCAAAACAGTGTCGGCCCATAAGTTTTCACATGCAATACAGCAATTAATACTCCCTTGTTGTAACCCGTGTTAGGTGGTATAAACCTACACATGTTATTTGTCATCATTCACTTGATGGTCAGTTAATGAATTTATAACAGGTATAATTAGTGGTAACACACTTAGATTACCCGACAAAGGTTCCCATTTGGCATTTCTTGTATCTGGAGTAAATATTCAACATTATAAACATCGATCAAAGGATTAACCGATAACACGCTGATTGATTAATTACTTTTATCTTACACAGCGGATTTGTCAAAAGGTAGTGTTTATGTATGTAGATTTACTAATCTATATTGAATACACTCTGTCGTGTCGGTGTCTGCGTAAAAACAACGTCCTTCTTTCAAAGGATTAACCGGCAATACATTGATTGATTGCCCATTATTGGCTAACTAAATCACTGTTTTTAAAGAAAGGCAGACATTATGCAATTAGTTGCCAGGTGTGCTATCTTGGGTGACCAATGAGACTATACACCAATACCTGAAAAGATTTATCACTTTTTCGTATATTAAACTGTTAAAAGACACATCATTTGGAACAGTTTTGTGGATATTGATGGATACATTCCTCCAACAAGGTAATGGCCTGATATTGTTCCTATAACTTTAATCTGTTTTAATTTTAATATTTGCATTTTGTTTTTATTCATTTGTCGTAGCATATCAACAGAATCATTGTTTTCGCCGTGAAGTGTAATGAGACAGACAACATGCACTAGGGTGTGTGTGCGAATTATGATTCACATTGGCAAACTATATAATGTCTAGATATTACAGTTCTGTTATAAATTCACTATAAGTATTCAGCAGATCGTCTGCTTTTTTATTTAGTTTCAAAATGCATACAAGTATTTAATTAGGATTATAAGACCAAATATAAAGACGCACATTGACTAGTATCTACATACTGGTGAGTGGACATTAACCATGGGAATGTAGCAAGAAAGTTATCGCGCAGTATTGTGACTTCGACCCCCACCTCGCTTCCGTGGAAGAAATCGTTATGTTATAAGTTGTGTCATGCAAAATCCGTTTGGTTATGATTCCAATACATATTTAACTACGAGTAGAAAGTAGTCTTGATTTTCTAACTTGATGAAAACAAACTATATCTTATTAATTCTAACAGATTTTTTTATTTTTAAAAATGGCGGCGCCCTATCGGGAACATCCGCTAGTCTGAGGATAAATGGTATTTAGGTTTGTTTTTTACCGAGTTACAAAATCAAAACTACTTTCTACTGGTAGTAAAATATGTATTTTATTGATGGCCAATATGATTTTGCATGACATAGCGTATAACATAACAATTTCTCTCCTGGCAGCGAGGTGGGTGTCAATATAATACTACTTACAATATTATTGTTACTTCGACCACAACCTCGCTTCCGAGGAAGAAATCGTTATGTTACAAGTTGTGTCATGGAAAATCTTTATGGTCATCAATCATATGCATATTTTATTACAACTAGTAAGTAGTTTTGATTCTTTAACTTCAGTGAAGCGATCTGAACACAAGTAAGATATCGTTTCAGGCTTCCACAACGCTCGCTTCGCACTCACAAACATAACCCATTTAGCACGAACTGCGGGGTCCTGTGGAAATCTGTGCATGGGGACACCATCGCCCGACCCCTAGGAGCAATTGACGACAAAGCAACGATTCGGCATGTCTTCGTTGATGTCGAGAAATCATCAAAATGATGAGCGTGCTACACATTTTCTATACAACTAACTGAAAATCGTTCCTCATATGACGTCACTGCAGTGCTCTGGCGACAGAGTTACGTAACCTGTCTGTGGTTTCGTTGGCGGGCGAGAGGGAAGCAGGCGACTTTTTTGGCCACTTTTAATCGCTCGGTATTAATTAACCACAAGTTTTTAAAGAATAAATTTGGTGTTCCGCATAAGACTAACCACAAATCTTTCATATGTAATGGTTAAAAGAGTAACAAAAAACAAAGTTTAGTGGTTCTTTAAACATACTTTCCATTCAGTCGGAAGTGGTTTTAAATGGTCTCGTCATTCAGGGAAGAAAATACACCATAATCGATGTACGTAATGTCTCAACATATTTGCAGTGTAATTATATTTCCTGATATTGTCAGTGTCGTGACATTCACAAGGATAATGAAAACACCACGGATGGAAACACTTCCTGGTGCTACAACTACCGTACTTACTCTATTAACCTGTCCAATATGGAGTCCTGTTGGCGCCTATGTTAAAGGCTAACATTATTTTTAAAAACAATATGCCTTCCTCTGGTTCTTAATAGAGAGAATACGGCATTTTGAATACGCACGGAGTTGACGCACAACCAGAAAACAATTTGAGCTAATATTTGTATGATAGGAGTTACCTCCCTTCTGTTGTTGGCCATCGCATTCAGATGTTTCTGTTTCAAATTTGTCAGATCCGAGATACACTGATGTGTCGTGTGTTCCGAATGTAAAGGAGGTTTACAGAGTTTGTGTCCTGTAGTGGTTGTATCTACGTTATTTCTGTGTGATGGGTATGCCTGGTAGAGTAGATCCCGTTTTATCAGTCTTTATATCACAATCTTGAAATGATGAAGGTTTTCTTGGGTTTCCCGGGTAGAATAGTTCTCAGTATATCATGGTCGACATAAAATGGACGTTGAGGCAATTCGACATTTATGCCCAGTATAATATTATCATGTTTGACATCTGCAAGGACCCCGGGTTAGAACAAGGTCCAGTATATCATGCTTGACATATAGAGGTTGGCATTAGTTAGAACAAAGCCTAGGATATCATGTTTGACATGTGCAAGGACCCCGGGTTAGAACAAGGTCCAGTATATCATGCTTGACATAGAGAGGTTGGCATTAGTTAGAACAAAGCCTTGGATATCATGCTTGACATGTGCAAGGACCCCGGGTTAGAACAAGGTCCAGTATATCATGCTTGACATAGAGAGGTTGGCATTAGTTAGAACAAAGCCTTGGATATCATGCTTGACATGTGCAAGGACCCCGGGTTAGAACAAGGTCCAGTATATCATGCTTGACATAGAGAGGTTGGCATTAGTTAGAACAAAGCCTTGGATATCATGCTTTACACGTGTAAGGACTCCAGGTTAGAACAAAGTCCCAGTATATAATGCTTGACATGTGTAAGGACTCCATGTTAGAACAAGCACCATTGTATCATGCTTGACATGTGCAAGGACTCCGGGTTAGAACAAAGTCCCAGTATATAATGTTTGACATGTGTAAGGACTCCATGTTAGAACAAGCACCATTGTATCATGCTTGACATGTGTAAGGACTCCAGGTTAGAACAAGCACCATTGTATCATGCTTGACATGTGTAAGGACTCCGGGTTAGAACAAAGCCTAGGATGTCATGCTTGACATGTGCAAGGACTCCAGGTTAGAACAAAGTCCCAGTATATAATGCTTGACATGTGTAAGGACTCCATGTTAGAACAAGTCCCAATGTATCATGCTTGACATGTGTAAGGACTCCGGGTTAGAACAAAGCCTAGGATATCATTTTGACATGTGTAAGGACTCCAGGTTAGAACAAAGGCTAGGATATCATGCTTGACATGTGTAAGGACTCCGGGTTAGAACAAAGGCTAGGATGTCATGCTTGACATGTGTAAGGACACCGGGTTAGAACAAAGGCTAGGATATCATGCTTGACATGTGTAAGGACACCGGGTTAGAACAAAGGCTAGGATGTCATGCTTG